AGGGAGAGAGAGAGTGATAGCAAAGAAGAAAAAGTTAACCACGAGTTATAATATATATAATCTTCTTATTAACTGATGAAGTATTACTTTATCCAAGAACCTACTCATTCGGATGTTTTGCAATTGCTCGAACCGATTTCTTGTGATGAGTAAGAGTTGACATTGTTTTCCCTGCAAGGTATAATCAGTTATCTGCAGAAGAGACAAGGCCGACTCAGAAGAGAGTTATAGACCTTAAATAGATCATTCATTACCTGCTACAAGGTCCCAAAACTTTATGGTTGTATCATGGGATCCAGTTACCACTTGTGGATCCTAATAAAGTACCATGTTAGTGTAAATAATGCAAAACCCATCATCAGAAGGAGAACACACACATGAGTACATTACTGAGGCACACCACATGCAGCTAGTAATTATTATGACGATAAGCAGGCAATGGGCAACAAACAAAAGCTATAAAACATGCCTAACTAAGATTTTGTATTTGTAGACGGACAAAGGAACCAACAACATACACAACTTATTTCATAAATCCATAGGAGCCAAATCTCATAAATCAATCATATCCCCCACAATCATTTGTCAGAAATCTCTCTTGCCCAAGTTCTTCAATTGCTAGAAGGTTTCATTGACTTTTCTATAAAATATTGTACAAAATGAGACTTCTCTTCACATTGACTCTGAGTGTAGATTAATCTACATGAATACAAATTAATCCTGTCTATGAGACCCAGGCTATACACTGAAACAGTGATTAAAAACTGAGATTCAGGATCAGACTTGCTAAGGTCTGAAGTCTCACAAACATTTGGCCAAGTGTCCCGTGCAAATAACACTGTAGGGTCCATGACCCGGTGAGACCTCAGCAAGTCCTGAGGTTTCTGAACTGGATCTAGCAATATAGTAACTCCAGCCCGAATCACAGAGTTTAAGCTCCACTGAACTGTAATCACCAACTGGTGTTTAGCTAAGCTTTCCTTTGCCAAAACATCTGCCCCTTGGTTATCATCTCCCCCTACGTGCTGCAAGGGCATTATCAGTCAGTATATGGTGCCAGACATTTTTCCTTGCAATCTGCCCACTTAATAACAATAGGAGTCTGCTTCAATGAAGATTGATTTCTACGCAGGATCCAAATTTTGGAGACCAATTACCAGATCCCCTGCAACTGCCTCAATAGGATCGTTTAAGCTGTAAAGAACCAGAGTAACTTCCTAAAACTTCTACCCAGGTAGTCCCTTATAACTTTTATGCCTGCCTTGCCAGGGTTGCTCTTAGCACTTGCATCAAAATTTAATTCTTATTGCACACTGGGGTCGGAGCCATTTCATTGCCTTAACTGAGTTTTCCTACTCAGAATTTAATGATCCCACTGATTCTCAAAGTCAGCTAGCGAGTAACCCCAAAACTCACTTCTTGTTCTTGGCCAAGAGATAACCACCACTCTGATTTGCTTGATCAATCTAATAGACTTCTGTTTTTGGTCTGTGATTTTTGAAACACCGCCTATTCCTCTCCATCCATAAGTTCCAGAGGACTGCCAGAACTGTCAGCCTCCACAGGGTTAAACCTATGCACCTGACTTTGGCAGTGGAGGTGTTAACCATTGAATCATGAGTGCTTTAATTATGGATCAAATTACCACGTCAAATTTGAAAAGAGATTTGAAACGAAGACCCCAAATATCTGTTGCCCATGGACAATGCAAAAATACGTGGCCAAATGTCTCAGCCTTGCTCCTACACCAGGAATAGGTATCACAAATCCTTGGCTTCTTCAGATGGTCAACAGTAGCATCCCATCAATGATCACAAACCTCCCAAATGTTTAATTCCTGGGTCGTCCAGGGATGGACCAGATTTTGTTAGTCGCAGCGAGCATCTGATGTTGACTCCACCTATTTTGATTTAATCGATAAGTCACCCTTGAGATCTGGCGCCCAGGTTACCTCATCAAATCTTTCAGGTCTGAAGAGCAATCTCTGCAACTTCGATAACAGGCTCGCATATGCTTCAACTTTATGCTTTGTCAAGGCCCTTCTGAGGCAGGGATTCCAGGCTTGAATTTCTTGGCCAAGTTTTTTAGGCCATAAGGGCATATTGCAGCATAGACCCTCAAACAAAAAGGCATTGCAAAATAAACCTGAGTTTCTTATTGTTTCTTTCCTGAAATGTGTCACATAGTAGGGTTTCATGATTCCAATTCAGCAAGAAGATAAAGTCAACTATATAACCAGAGAGTAATGGGAAACGTCAGAAAATAGGTGCTGTAAACTTCACATAATGATAAAGACATTTTATTAATTAGAACGCAATAATCTGAAAAGCAGGACAAATGCCAGAGGAAGCTAAGAATAGAACAATAAATAAACTCACACATAAAAAGTGCAAGGATCTCAATTTCATAAACCAATTAACATTCTAAGAAACCATTTCATTCTCATATATGGGATTCTCATATGAAGTGAGTTAGGCATACCACAGCTTGAGTGAAAACAGAGCAAACTGTGTTCTCATGCCCAGAGAGTGCAAATATCTGGGTCTTGGTACGTACATCCCAAACCTAGAAAAAGAAAATGCACAAACAATTAAAAAGATAGAAAGAAACGTCAATGCACATATAATCACCATACTAGATGCAGTCCCAATGGGAGGCTCAATGACTGAGGTGTAACATTCCTTTCAAAAAGCACATATTGGAATGTAGATACAGTAACATACCCCCCCCCCCCCCTCACCCTAAAAAAAAAGCAAGAGAGAGCGAGAGAGAATACATCCAGTATACCATAATCCAATGGACTACAAAAAAACCACGGACCAATGGATCATCACTGAAATTGAAATGAGCGATAGTGCTGAAGAGAGAGATCCACCAAAATACAACATATTCCCAATGCAAGGTCACATTCTCACCATTCATCATTGCTCCCATTTCAATGGATGGTGGCAACAAAGATTCAAAAATACTAGCATAAAGATTTGGTATGATTGAGGCACACTTGGCAAAATATAGTAACAGCAAATATATCGGGGCTAAAAAAGGAAAAATAATATCATCATCACCATCATAGCCTTTTCCCAACTATTTGGGATCGGCTACAAGAATCATTGTCCGCCATTTTGCTCCATCAAGGGCCATACCCTTAGTGAGATAACAATAATAATAATAATAATATAATAACTTTAAAACATAATAACATGTGATATTTGAAAAGATCCGATATTTATAATGAATTTATCAGTGGTGCTACATGCTTCAGAAAAATTAGATATTTCCTGCATACTTCAAACATTTGGTGCCAGCTATATTTTTTTTTTTTGCTCTAACATTGTTAGGGGGATTTTCATCAGAAATATTTAGGTGGGGTTTAAAACTTTAACACTTTTTTTGAGAGAGAGCAAGATTGACAATAATCAGATCTGGTAGCGAGATCAGGAAAACGGGATCATGAAATATAGGGATCTCGATTCCATTATGTGTGCGAGCTTGATCCAAACTTAATTAGGATGGAATGATAATGCAGGACTGTGCTTCATCTACTTAAACATCATGACCCCAGAGAGCACTTAACTGGTATATTATAGTATATACTACTATACTATACTACTATGCAATAATATACTACTATACCATTCCACAATACAATGCTAGCTGTTGTATTCCATCATAGGGTACCATATTATTAGCCGCTATATTTAATATTATTATATTATCATCATCATCATAGTCTTTCCTCAACAATTTGGGGTCGGCTACACAAATCTTGATCCGCCATTCTGCTCTATCAAGGGCCATACCCTCAATGAACCCATTAAGTCCTCATATCTTTTCTTACCACTTCCAACCATATCCTTTTCGGCTTACACCTTGCCTTTTTTTAGCCTTCCACTTGAACTAACTCGAACCTCCTAACAAGTGTTGTACTAGGTCTACGCTGCACATGGCCAGCCACCTAAGTCTACTTTCTCTCATCTTATCGCCTATTGTAACCACACATAAATTTGCCCGAATGTATTCATTTTCAAACTATATACCTTCTTGTCGTGTCACTCATCCATGTCAACATGCTCATCTCAACTACACTCATCCTATGGGTATGTTGCTTCTTGACCGCACAACATTATGCCCCATAAATTTGAGAGTGTAAAGTTGAGGACCTCCCAACAACTTATCTGGGTCTACCCCTCGAGCTGGGTAAACCTAAAAAGAGACATTGGTCCCATGTGATTGACAAGGCTGATAGACGCTTGGCAGGGTGGAAAGGGAGATACCTCTCTCAAGCAGGAAGAACCACTCTAATCAAAGCAAACCAGGCCAATGCACTTATGTACCTTATGTCTCTTTTTCAAATACCAACTTCAGTGGCTAATCGACTCGATCAACTCATGAGGAACTTTCTCTGGTCAGAGTAGGCCGAGAAAACCAAATTCCATTTAATTTCCTGGGATAAAGTATGCTTACCCAAAAAAAACAGGGGTGGTTGGGAATCAAGCTCTTAAGGAAACACAACTTGGCCCTCTTAGGAAAATGGTGGTGGCATCTGGCCACTCAAACGGACTCTCTCTGGGCTCAAGTACTACGGAGTAAATACAAGATTCCTCAAAACACTTGCGTGTCAGAGAGGAGACCTTGGACCAATGCGTAAGGAGCATGGAAATCTTTCACCTCCTCTCTCGCATTGTTCAAAAAATACATCAGGTTTCACCCAAGAGAAGCAACAAGAGTGCGCTTCTGGTCAGATCTCTGGCTTGGACACGCACCACTGAGGGACCTCTATTCACCCCTTTACTCTATCGCAGTGAACAAAGATGCCACAATAGTGGACGAAATGGTGTTGGAGGGAGGTCAAAGAGAGTGGAACCCCTCTTTTAGAAGAAACCTCTCTAAGGAAGAAACAACCACTTTATCTCCCTGTCGGCACTATTGCACCATTCTTTCCTCCCAACACAAGGATGGGACCAACTGGTATAGTCCCTCACTCCATCAGGGGCCTCATTGTGGCCTACTTCTACAAGAAACTCATTCAACATCCCATTTTCCCACTTAATCCCCCATCGGTTCTTTCCCAGATTTGGAATACTATAACACCTCCCAAGGTGCAAATTTTCAATTGGATAGCGGGTTCCCAAAAGGCATTTACAGTCGACTACCTACAAAAGAAAGGGATCCCAATCCCCAACAGATGCATCATGTTTTTATGTGAGGAGGAATCCAATCCTCACCTTTTCATCCACTGTCACCCTGCCCACGACCTCTGCTACAACTGTTTGGTGTCCGTTGGGTAACACCACCGACAGTTAGAGAGTTAATAGCTGTCAATTTTGCCTCCCAATGGCCGAAGGCCAGTAAACTCCTATGGAAGGCAGTGGTGGCAACAACCATATGGGTAATCTGAACAGAAAGAAATGCCAGAATTTTCCAAGGACAAATCAGCCTGGTCCCAACCCTCTTTCACAAGGTTACATCCTCAGTAACCTTTTGGGCGTCAAACCAACACCTCTTCAAGGGTATCCCTATGAACTCCTTCCTTAGTCAATGGAAGAATATTCTTGTCCACCGACCAAGGAAGGAGAAAAGATCAACCATTTGGAAGCCACCTCCTGATGGAGCCATAAAGCTAAACTTTGATGGGTGCTCCTTGGGGAACCCTCGCCATGCACGAGCAGGTGGTGTCTGCAGAGATCACCAACGTAATATTCTCTTCACCTACTCCGAATATCTTGGCCTTCAAGATTCTCAATATGTCGAATCAATGGCTCTTCTCAAGGGCCTGCCAAGCTTCGATCGATCTTGGGGGAAACACCTAATAGTTGAGGGTGATGCTTTAAACATCATTACTTGGGCAACCAGGAGGTCTACACCCCCTTGGTATCTAGCACCGATTATGATGAGATTGTTCACACCTGCAGGGAGATGGCCGTCTCCTGGATGCATACCTTGAGGACGTCAAACGAGTTCACGGACATCCTGACGAAGACCAGACCCGGTCCCTTGCTGCTTTGGACCGTTGAGGATAAACTTACAAAAACAACTTACTGTGTACGGGCAACTTTCTTAGCCCATTTTTGTAAACTCTTTGTAAACTTTATAAGGGGTCGATTTTTGTGTACTCACTGTAAACTTTGTAAGGGGACTATCTTATAACCCCATTTTTACCGAGAGTCCCGTCTACAGGGTACTCTCAGATTAACCAAAACTTGTACTTCCACTCTTTATAGCAATACAAAAGTTAACATTTATCAAAAAAAACAAACATTATGCCCCATAAAGCAAGGCCAGTCTCACAGTTGTTCTATAGATTTTGCCCTTTACATCGTTGGTATACGACGGTCACATAAAACTCCGGTTTCACATCTCCACCTCCCCCACCCAGCTCTAATTCTATGTGCGACATCTTCCTCAATCTCTCCATTTTTCGGGATGGATTGAGGAAGATGTCGCAAATAAAATTAGAGTTGGAAGCAAGGATTCAAGATTCATGTTTAGTTTTGGCAAAGTTTTACGTTAGCTGCCTACCTAACACAACTCACCTCCTTTATCCGGGCTTGGGACGGGTTAAGGGAAAGTTTAAGGTCCTCACCCTTCTTAGACCATTTAATATCACTATGCACAACTATATAATATATCGGGAAAACTATTAAACCCCCCTTCCCCCCCCAGGTTGGATGTTCTCCTCATAATGCCCGTGGAAAAGTATCTCTCACCCATTACCCCATAGATACTTTTTTCTAAATTACACCACAGGGGTACTTTTCAGTTATATTTATGATGAAAATGCCCTTATTAATGATTTCTAAAAGTCAAAATAAACAGTCATATCTCTATCTTTCCCCTTTTTTCTCTATAAGCCTACCTTTCATTGATATTCATCTCTCTCTCTCTAACAATGTAAATTGGGTTTTTTTTCTATCTAAAGATGTGAATAAGTTTCTTCGTCTCTCTCTAAAGCTCTCTCACTCTCTCTAAAAGCATGAGTAGATTTGTTGGCTTCTCTCTAATTATAAATGGGTTGTTGGTTTCTCTCTCTTTCTTTACCATTTTTTCTCTATGTAGATCCCAAACCCATTAGGTCTAAAGAGTAAGAAACTAATCCATTTACATTTTTAGAGAGAGATATGAATATGAATGGGACTATGGGAATGTAGGCCTATAGAGAAAAAATGACGAAAAGAGAGCGAAATAAGGGCATTTTCATCACAAATAAAGCTAAAAAGTACCTTGTTAGTGAGAAAAAAAATAAGTTAGGATAGCGGGTGAGAGAGACTTTTCAATGGAGGCATTAAGGGGGTAACATCCAACCTACGGGAGCTATCGTAATTTCCCAAATATATACCAATATGGTATATATTACCAACTATACCAAACTGCTATACCATACTATATTGCTATACAAGTTACTAGTGGTTTAGGTGCGGAAGCCTAGGAGTATGGGTGGTCCTTTGGTTATTGATTGATTGGTGATTTGGGAGATCCTAAAATGTCTTCATCTAGGTCTAATAAGACTAAATCTGACCATCCTGGGGGTATGAAAATTTAATTTTTAAATGAACAAACTATGAATATGTTTGTACATATTGTAAATAAATAAACAAATAGGGCACATACTAGGTCAATGAGCATTTGGCCCAGAAGTCTGGCAAAGTGTGCAAATGCACTAGTGTGTGGGCAAATGTCATGTATAAAATGCAAAAGAGCATTGAAAATCACGACACTTAGCAGGAAAGAAAGCAATTGCTGTGAGATTGGCAAAACTTACCCTACCCCTAATGGAGACATTTGATGCTAATGAAGAAAAGGAAGGGCCGTCAGTACCAAATAGAGAGGGCAAAAAGAACCTGCTATAGTGGCTACTAGTAGGCCTAGAAGGCAGCTGGGATAGAAGATTATTTCCACCAAGGGCAACAATGCGGGCACAACCAACAATTCAAAGTATCTTGGTTGGGGAGAAGACCATGAAAAGGGCCCGGTTGATTTATGGTTCAGCCATATCGTTTGATGTCATCAACTCCTACTTTCAACCTACGTTGGATGCAATGTCATCCCCCTCAGCTTCATTGATATGATGTGATCACATAAAACCCTGGTTGCACGTCTCCACCTCGCGCACCCAGCTTTAATTCTATGTGTGACATCTTCCTCAATCTCTCCATTTTTCTAGACTATCAAACCAAGTAATCGAAAGTGTGTACTTTTTGGTATTTTGATTTATTCAGACTTGAGTCCCTTGATAGCCTGATAAAGAGTAATAAAGTTTGTTGTTCTAACTTTTAATCTTTAATAGTTCAAATGTCTTAACAAATTAACATGTGAAACAATGTAATCCATTCCATCTCAGATAAAATATCCAAAATTCTATACTTTAAAGTTTAAAACCCAAAGAAGCAAAGACAAAAAAGTTTGACATATAAAAGAAAAAGATAATCAACTTTCAGGTCTCAATCAAACAATCATCAAATACTTGAATTCCTTCTGTCACTTCCTTTTGTCTCATTTTCTTCTTTCGCATTGTTTGCTTGTGGGCATGCTTTAACAATCCCGGTAATACTAGCTAAGCGTTCCTTCTGCTGAAAACTACCCTCAGTATAAGTACTACCACATAGATTACAAATAAAACAATTTTTTCCATGCCGGCTTCTTGTTACTTGAAGTATTAGGAAATGAAAAATTACCAAACAATCCAAATAAATTTTGATGATGGCAATGCGGGTAATATAGCTGCATATGCGGGTGATGCGCAGCATCGGCCGCCACATATGCGAGCGCATCACATTTTTCCGCATAGGTGGCCTAAAGAAATGCGCTCCAAGCCACATAATGCATTGCCTTATGCAGCTAAATAATGTGTCATGCGGATGCATTTTAAAACAATGATTCTTAAAGTTATAAGCCAGGGAAATGATATTGTTAAAGAACGGGTCAAGCAAGAGGGCCTAGTTCTCAAAGACATGGAAGAACAATTAGATAACTGGATGGAAATGGAACTATCAAAAGTGGGTAACTTTTAAGTTTTAAGCTTTAAATACTCGATTCTTGGGATGATTTAGGGCATTTCATTTAAGGGGATATCAATGATGATGATCAAAGGTGGAAATGACGAGGAAGAATAAGAAACACGTGAAGATGAAGATGGTGAATATTACATGACTTGTATTTATTTGTCTGTTCTATCATTTATGTAGCAATGTAATTTTGAGATTTGGATTGCTTTATCATTTGTTCCTTTATTTGTTATGTCTTCGACCCAGTGAGAGTGTGACTGGGAGTATGAGGCTTTGTAAATTTTATGAACATGATGGATTCGCTTTAGTACTTAAATAATTACTTGCCTAATACCCTGACACCCTTCAAATTCATTGTCTAATTTGCCTTAGTGGAGTGCTTCATGTGATGTGTATTATGTAATGTTATCTAGAAATTTTGATTTTATAATTTTCTTATTCAGCCGTGATTCCAACACATCAAGAATGAGGGTTCTATAATTTTCTTATTATTACGATTTATAATTTTCTTATTAATCCTAATAATTTTCTATCTTTTGAAGTTTTTTCCGTTCTTTTGCAATTTTATTTGCACTTTTTCCTTTTTTTAGCAGTCTTATAAAATTTGGGCGGTACGACCGGTGCCGTAGTCCAGGCTGACAAAACCAGTGCCTCCACCAGCTCAATGATTGACCCAATCCTGATAACATCAACTAAAAACGCATGTTGTGAGCAAGTTTTAAAAAAAAAAAAGGTAATAAGAGATGGTTTATTCAAATTTCAAGAAAGAGAAATATTGGCAGTGATGCCAATACATAACAGCCACTATAAACCTCAAAATCGCCAATATTTGATCATATTGTGAGATTTTGACTTTATAGGCTACACCACCACATGTTGGACATACATTAGAGCATGCAAGGCCTTTTACATAAAAGCAGTTGCTGTACCCACTATTTTAGCTTCTTCTTTTTTTGAACCATGCTGACCACCAATTGCATCAATGATTTACAGTAGTCCATCAGATTAGTAAATTTTTCACATTGAATGTTCATGAAACATCAACTCCTTAGCTAAGAGAAGAAGCTTCATACCCGACAAACAGAATCACGACCACCAGTGAACAAAATGTCAAGAGTAGGATGAAGTGATAAGCAATAAACACCACTTAGATGCCCATGATAAGAACGAACAACCTGTACAATGATATTCACAAAATAGTTAAGAATCACATAGAATGCTAACATCGACCAGTAACCTTAGAGGTAACATGATAGGGAAAGCATTACATTGGAGGTGACAGCAAACCTTGTTTTGTTCAAGATCCCAGCATTTTACTTGTTTGTCATCACCAGCAGAGAACATGTAGGGATGGCGGCTACTCACAGCAAGACCTACGCATGAACTCAAAACATCAAGATGAATATGAGAAATACCAACAAAAGGTTCAAGACCTAAGACTATGCATTTGGTTATTTCACATTTGTATGATATAAGGAACTTACCACGTATTTGTTCAATATGTCCAGTTAATGTGAGTTTGAGTGTTCCGGAGGCTAGATCCCATATCTGATCAAATAAAATGAAAATTAATGTATGGGAACAACTCCTCAAAAATTATTCTGGATGCTAGATCCCATATTTGATCAAGTAAAATGGAAATTAATGTTTGGAAACAACTCCTCAGAAAATTAAAGGACTAAGGCAAGCCATATCAAGAAAATAAGGGGGATGATCTTGTGTATTTTCAATACACAGCCTTCTGATTTTAGCTCGTGACCGTCAGATGAAGGTTTAATCTCAAGATCAAACCTTCTTTCAACCCTTCAACCGGTTACCCTCATTTACAAATTTGTCCCCTGAACCTGTTCTACCCATATCTCTGTACTCTCTCTCTCTCTCTCTCTCTCTCTCTCTCTCTACTACTCTACTACTACTACTACCTACCTACCTACCTACCGTATACTACGTACCTACCTACCTAC